CCCACCCATCGCCCAGGCCAACTAGTTGCGCCCATCGAGCACCCCCGGTCGACGGAAGCTCCACAGTGACATCCTGCAGCTCGACGAAGCCCGTCGAGCAGCTCCTTCACTGCGAACGGTCGGCTGCTTCACCCGTACATCCGACCAAGTCGTCGGCGTTGCCCAAGCGAGGGCGGGGCCAACACCCCATTCCCGTTAACAGTTTGGCACTGCTACCTATCACTGTACCTCGGCTCTTGGGGTTTGTAGGAGCTGGGAGTCCTTCCCAACTCGTAACTCTTCCTAGCTGTTCGTAATTGTGTGTTCTAAGACTATGTTGCTGCCATAGTGCCGTTCGTTCAATCTGACGCTGTGTCGTCAATTCTTGATGAAATCGTGCGATCAAAATTGCCTATTGTAGCGACGTTAAGACGCTCCAGATCCAAGTTGAATCAGGTCAATTGGAGCTGTGACCAGATCGCTATGAACGTTTGAAGCCGCTGTGCAGAAATCTGACTGCGCACTCTATCTTTCGTTTTAGGCACATTGAAGCCTACTATGACAATAAGACACACATATATCAGCATTCTTCGCAGATTGTGTCTGCCACGATAGACATCACGCGCCAGTACGCCGCTTCAACAGCTTGGCTTGTATCGGAACCGACACTCGACCCGTCCAAGATTTTGGCGCATCGGGTTTCTGCTCGACGCTGCTGGCCGCCACGTGGACTTTCTAGTCCATTCAGTTGACAGAATCAGAGAACACCACACGTGGGTGCCATCCACCTTGCCTGAAGCACTGAATTAGCTAGGATAGTCATTATATTAGCGCGTCCCTTCATTGTATTGTCAGTTCATTCAGAGAAAAAACCTCGATATTCATTATTTTGCACCTTCACTACAACTAATAACACTATCTTACAACTCATAACACCCTTCGTGGTTGGGGATAGTGAGACACTCTTCCATATTATTGTACCTCGGCTCTTGGGGTTTGTAGAGGCTGGGAGGCATTCCCAACTCGTAACTCTTCCTAATTTGTGTACTAAGATTATTGTGGCTGACATTTTGCCGTTCGTTAAAACTGACATTCCGTCTTCAATTCTTTATGAAATTATGTGATTCGAATTGCCTATTGTAGACGACTTAGACGACCTTAAGGCGATCCAAATCCAATTTATAGCATATCATACAAGCTGTGACCAAACAGCTATCAACGTTTGAAAGTGCTGTGTAAATATCTGTCTGTGCACTTCAACTTTCGTTTTACGCACATTCAAGCCTATTCTGACTACAACAATGCGAGGTGCGTGTATGGCTTAAAACAGAGCCTTGACTCATGTAGGGGCAGGCAAATGGGTGCCTTATATGGAGTCGATTAGAAGGAAGCCAAAGGTGTTTATGCTTTGGGTGTTTGGATGCTTGTGCTTGGCGTTCGTGCCTAAGAATTTTCGGCACAACAAGCTTGGAGCCAAGTCGATATGGGTCGTGCATTGTGTTGGTGTAAGGGCCTAATAAACTCAAACTATCTATCAAGACTTAATCAAACTTATAGCCTCTCCCCGGGGTCACCTCTAAGGGTCTCTGGGTGCCTCGTACAAGACCAGCCCATATCCTCGTGTCCGAGTTTGTAGAGAGAGGAGTCAAGAATGAATAGCCAAAATAACAAGAGTACCTTCAAGGTTGCGCAGCGTGCCGTGCCGGCCGTCAATCGGATTAAGCTGAGAAATTGCTCAATCGAAGCTCGCTTCAAAAGCCTTAAAATAAGCCAAGTTTCCTCGCGAAAAGTTCTGCCATTACAAAGTTATGGCTCGGATAACGTTTTCCTAGTGTACTAGCTTTGCCTCGGGTAGCATTCCGCCGTCGAACTGCGTAGCAAGGAAGGAACCCGCTTGAATCAATTGACTATATCCAGGTACAAACAGAGAAGGAATAAATAGTTCTAGCTAGCAAGGACCTTGGGAATCAACCTGGGAACAATCAGGGATGATCCCAAATAATTCCAAGCAACAGAACCAACCTGGCTGGACAACATAGCACGTGGTAGGCTGGTAACAACCTCTGGTTCTGTTTTTAAAACCTAGGAAAACAACAACCAGGTTCAGGTTCTAAAAACAGAACATGTTTTGTCTTTGCCCAACCAGCCAAATGCTGGTTCTGCTGGTTTCCGCTTGCCTTGTAGCATGCAGATACAGACAAACATCCAACCTTCACCTAAATTGTACCCCTATAGTGCCTGCCCTGCTACACTATAGTCAACCAAACAATACAGTACAATTTCGAGTTGGATAGAACTGAATCTGCGCAATCAAATAACCGAACGGCAAATATTCCACCTTGGGTTCTTTTGCGAGCTCGTCCTTTCTGCTTGCACTGTTCATAGCGCGTACAATGTTGTGCCGAAGTGCACATTGAGCGAGAACCTGCAAATTCAACAAGCAAAAATTGTGAAAACACACAAACGTACGAACACACCATTCACACGCAAATGCATTCGCACACGCATATTCGTACAAACAGATGGCAGGATGTCGTGCAAAGTGAATATGCACCCAACACACTCCCCCTCAGCCTGCCGGCTGCATCCCCATCATTCCATGCTAGTTCATGCTCATTCCACTCATGCGCACACAACGCCAATAAGGCTCATCCGCAAGCCTCTTGGTGAGGAAGTCTGCTGGCTGCTGGTGAGTCTTCATGTAGGTCGGATTCACCGCCCCCCTCTTCACCTCCTTACGCAGCTAGTGCCACTTGATACGCATGTGCTTGTTCAGTTAATGAAGCACAACGTTCTTGGCCATCCCAAGAGCCCCCTTGCTATCACAAAACAGCGGCGTAGCAACCTTCTGCTCCAGGCCGATCTTCTCTAACAGCCGCCTCAGCCAAATCACCTCCACCCCGTGGAACATTACCATGTACTCTGACTCAACAGAGGAGAGTGCCGTCTCCGTCTGCTTCTTGGACCTCCAACTAACAGGTCCTCCCCCAACTACGCAGATGTATCCTCCCACAGATGAGGAATCCTCCTTCTCTGAAGCCCAAGTTGTATCGGTAAAGCAGATGAGAAAGAGCTTGCCTTCTCCAAGCCTCTCCCCTTTCTCTTTCAGCACCTCAACCCCTTTCTGGGTCACCTGTGCAGATGCAGAATATTGAACTCTAATGCTTGGGTGAGAGTTCAGAAACTTCACCACACGCTCAGCTGCATCCACCTACTCCTCTGATGGATTCTGCACCACCCTGGCCAGCTGCCCAACCGAGAAAGAGATGTCAGGCCTCGTGTGAACAGCTGCATACAAGAGGCTACCCAACAATGACTGAAATTGCTGCTGCTCCTCGGCTTCAACCCCTTCATCCTCTGCAGCCTTCACAAGCTTGAATTCTGCTGGCAGGGGAGTTGCAACCTTGCGCTCATTCTCAATCCCATACTTCTCCCCCAGCTCCTTGAGGAACTTATCCTGGTGCAGCTTCAACCACCTGTGATCCAGATCTCTTTCCACGTGCATCCCAAGCTATTCTTTACCTCCCCAAGGCTCTTCCACTTAAAGTTCTCCATCAGCTGGTGCTACACTTTCTGGATCTCCTTCGTGCTGCTGCTGAAGATAATAGTGTCGTCCGCGTAGACCAAAAACAGCACCAGATCCTCCCCCTCCCCCTTGAGAAAGAGGCTCTCATCACAGCTGCTGGTCCTGAACCCTATCTCCTCTAAAACAGCTGCCAACCTCTGGTACCAGCAGCGTGGCGCCTGCTTCAAGCCGTAGATTGACTTTTTCAGCTTGCACACCCTGCCCGTACCATCCTCATACCCAGGCGGCTGTGTCATGTACACATCCTCCTCTAAAATCTCATTAAGAAATGCCGTTGATATATCCATCTGAATGATGAATTTCCCACTAACAGCATCATCTGCCAACAAGACACGGAGGGTAGGGGATTTGGCAGTGGGAGCAAAGATCTCGTTGAAGTCTTGCTTCTCCTTCTGCATAAACCCCTTAGCCACCAGCCTACTCTTGTAGATGGTGACCTGCCCCTTGTCATCAGTCTTGATCCTCAGCACCCACTTGCACTGTACGGCTTTCTTCCCCTCAGGCAGCACCACCAGATCCCATGTCCCATTCTCTAGCAGGCTCTGGTACTCAGCATCCCTAGAAGCCAGCCACTTGTCCCTATCTGGTCCAGCTAATGCCTCCTCCATGCTAGCTGGTTCTCCGGGTGCAGGGGCAATAATACAGTAAGCAAGTCCATCCCTCTCATCCGAGTCATAGCCATGAGGTAAAATCAGCATTGCCTCCTCATTCCCAAGCTGCTGCTCTGCTTCACCAGCTCCTGCAGTCAGCTTCATTGTTGCCATGCGGGTGCGTCCTGGCCTAGAGACGGGTGTTTCCCACCCCTTCATAACGACACCCTTCAGCTTCCTCCTTTGTGGTAGCTTAGGCACCTTTCTTTTGCTCTGCTGCTGCTCTCCCATTTCAGATCCAGCAGCTCCACCAATGCTAGCACTAGCCTCTCCTTCATCAGCAGGTGCCTCTTGTACCTTCTCTCCATCACCATTTCCCGCAGCTCTCCCTCCTCCCACACATTAGGAGTCAGGTCCAGCTGCATGGTAATCTGCTCCATCTCCTGGGACACCCTTGCCTCTGGTTGTTTCTCCCAGCTCCCATACATCATGCCCTCAATGAATTTTACATCCCTGCTGTCAAACAACACACCCTTGGATGGTTCCCACAACAGCCATCCCTTGCTTTCAGCAGCCAGCCCCAAATGCACACACCAGATTGCACTCGCCCCCAACTTACTGCGGTAGGTCTTGGGGACGTGGGTGACTGCCATGCAGCCAAAAACCCTCAGCATGTCCACCGGCGGCTTCCTCCCAAGCCACCTCTCCAACGGCACCCACGAGTCATCCCCAACCTTGGCAAGCACCCTGTTCCTAGCGACGGTAGCGTGCCGAACAGCGTGGGGCCACATGGAGTTGCCAAGCCCAGATTCTATGAGCAGCGCCCTAGCTGTCTCTAGAATGGTCTAGTTCGCCCGTTCTACTACACCGTTGGACTGTGGGCTGTAATCCGTGATCAGCTCCCTCTGGATGCCCTGCTTCTTGAGCCAGGCTGTCATTTCAGCTCCAAGGAACTCACCACCCTGGTCTGTCCTAATCCGCTTCACTACACACTCTGCCTGCTTCTCCACGAATGGCAGCCAATCATCCTGTATTATGGAGGCGGCGTGGTCCTTCTGCTTCAGCGGATATGCCCACATCAGTCTGCTCCAATCATCCACAATTGTAAGGAAATACCGCTCCCCCTTGTGCCCTTGCACCGGCAGCGGCCCCACCAAGTCCATGTGGACTAGCTCCAACGGCTTCTTGCTCCTGCCAGCCACACTATGGAAGGGGAAACGGGTAAACTTTGAGAGCAAACAGATTTCACAGTTATCATTGGATTGCTATCCGATCAACTTCAGACCCTTAACGGCTCCATCTTTCTCCAGCTGCTTCAGCAAAGGCATTGCCACATGCCCCAAGTGTAGATATGCCAATGCCCAATCTGTCTTCCCTGATTTGGCTGACACTTTCACACCAACCCCTCCAACGGCGTTGCACTCCCCCTAGGATGCAGACCCCTCTCCAGCCTGCCCCCCACCGTGCCACGCCAATACCGACAGCTGCCACATAGATCCGTACACGTCTTTGCTCTTATACAGATCCCAAAGCACCCGATTGCCCAGCTGCCCTTTGTACGTGCGAGCCCCATCCGTGTTGGTGTTCACCCCAGCCTTGCCAAGCTTACGGAGCGAGATAAGGTTGGCCTTTAGTTCGGGGACGAGGAGAACGTTCTGCAGCACCATCGGCTTGCCATCCGCTCCCTTAAACGCAGCTCGTCCTGCACCAGCCTCCTTTAACATGTGTCCAGAGGCGGAGCACACCTCATTGATCGGTGCAGTGCGTTCGTTGTCTAGCATGTCCTTGCGCGGCGTCATCGTCCAAGCAGCACCCGTGTCCAACACCCAAAAGTCCAGGGGGTGCAGCTCTGCTCCAACCTTGGCAGATGCGTCTCCTTGCTACCTCTTGTCTCCCACATTGAAGAATTGGCCCGCGGAGCGCTCCTTCTTCTTCTCCGCACCGCTGTTGCCCTTCGGGTTGTTGTCGGACGAATCAGCGACCATGTTCGCGCCGTTTTCTGTCCTTCGCGCACCGCCATCCATGTGACGATTCTGGGGGATCCATCCATCGGGTTTCTTATAGCACAAAAACCAGGGGTGCCCTTCCTTCTCACAATACCAGCAACTCCCTTTCATTTTGCCACCAGCACCCGACTTGCCTCCGCGTCTAGATTTCGCACCACGACCCCAACCGGTACCTCCTTGTTGGTCGATAGAGTTGTCGTCCTTCTTTGCACCATGTCCAGCACCACCGAAGCCACGTCCTCTGCCACATCGGCTCCCTTGCATCCTGTAGCCGCTGCTGCCGTCGTCTCCACCCCTCAATTGGCGGCGACGGATGTCCTCCTCCAGAATCTTCGCCCGCACCCACTCGAGCGTCTACAAGCTCTGGTTCTGCGGCAGGCTCAATCCGCTCGTAAATTGAAGCCACGATTCCGGCAGCAGCGAGAGCATCTTCAGGCACTTGGTCTGCTCCGGATAGGTGATTCCCGCGATCGCCAGCTTCGCGTAGAGATCACGCGTCTTATCCAGAACAGGTCGCACCGGCTCTCCCTCGCTCAAACGCAACATGGGCAGCTCCCTCTCCATCATGAGCGTTGCGGCGACGGAGGTCGGGGCGTGCAGCTCCTTCAACACGGTCCACGCCTTCGGACCGCACTCAACCTCCGGCAGCAGGTGCATGACGTGGTGATGCTGGTTCAGCTCCAAACTCTGCGACATCAAATAGTAGCCAGCCGAGGCGCGCTCATCCAAAACTTCCTGCTTCGTATGCATCGGAACCAGAGGACATGATAAGTGTAGGAGGCTTCATTTGCTGTGTTGAGGGAGGCCCAGCTGTTTGGGAAAGCAAGAAGCAACTTGACCAAACATTGAGCTCGGTAGAGTGTATGACCACTCTTTCGTGCCATTAAGGCAATTGTGTGGTAGTATCGATTGTTGGCTAAGTTGGGAGAGCAGCTACAAGGACCTACCCCTCTCTATTGTGACAGCCAAGCCGCCATTGCACTTGCCAAAAATCTTGTGTTGCACAGCCTCGCGAAGCACATAAGGGTGAAATGGCATTGGACGAGGAAAGATGGTGGCCGCAGGTGAAGTTCAGTTGCACCTTGTGAAGACGACAGCGCAGTTCGTTGACATGATGACCAAAAGTCTGGTGGAGCAGCTGGATAAGAAATGTTGCAAGCTGGCTGGTATGGCTCTGAACTAAAAGGAGCAGATTCTAAGGCCAATAGTTCGATGGGGAATTTGTTGGTGAAGTTATGTCGTTTGCACTCAGCTTGTTGTCCTGCTGCATGCATGCGTGTGTGCATGGAATGGCATGGGGGCATGAGATAATATTTGATGCTTAAAATATTGCGTGAACGATGAGTCAGGATATTGAATGCGAGTGTTGGGTCAATAACAAGTTATCGCTAGTCGTGTGTCACGTCGTCGTATGCGTGCCGTGTGCATTCTCTATTTTGTCGTAGGGAACGCTCGGCGTGTCGCAGGTGCGTGCAGCAGACATTTAAGAATTCAACGATGCGTTGATAATGAAGAACCAGAGCCTTGGTTTTAAGACACAAGTCATTTCAAAGCTGGCCAAAAAGGTGTATAGTAAAGATTCTCTTAATGTAGTTCCTTGTGGAAGGTAGTTTCTGTTGGGTGCAAATTCACTTTGCACGACATCCTGCCGTCTGTTTGTACGAGTATGCGTGTGCGAATGCATTTGCGTGTGAATGGTGTGTTCGTGTGTTTGTTTTCGCAATTTTCGCTTGAAGCATTTGCAGGTACTCGCGCAATGTGCGCTTCGGCACAACATTGTACGCGCTATGAACAGTGCAAGCAGAAAGGACGAGCTCGCAAAGGAACCCAAGATGGAAGCTTTGCAGTTCGGTTTAATTGATTGCGCAGATTCAGTTCTATCCAACTCGAAATTGTACTGTATTGTTTGGTTGACTATAGTGTAGCAAGGCAGGCACTATAGGGGTACAATTTAGGTGAAGGTTGGATGTTGTTTGTCTGTATCTGCATGCTACAAGGCCAGGGGAAACCAGCAGAACCAGCATTTGGCTGGTTGGGCAAAGACAAAACAGGTTCTGTTTTTAGAACCTGAACCTGGTTGTTGTTTTCCCAGGTTGGAAAAACAGAACCAGAGGTTGTTTTCCAATTTACCACTTGCTGTTTTGTCCAGCCAGGTTGGTTCTGTTGCTTGGAATTATTTGGGATCATCCCTGGTTGTTCCCAGGTTGATTCCCAAGGTCCTTGCTAGCTAGAACTATTTATTCCTTCTCTGTTTGTACCTGAATATAGTCAATTGATTCATGCAAATTCCTTCCTCGCTGGAATTTCGTTTCTACGCGGTTCGACGGCGGAATGTGTTGGGTGCAAATGCATATTGCACGACATCCTGCCGTCTGTTTGTACGAGTATGCGTGTGCGAATGCATTTGCGTGTGAATGGTGTGTTCGTGTGTTTGTTTGCTTTCGCATTTTTCGCTTGATGCATTTGCAGGTACTCGCGCAATGTGCGCTTTGGCACAACATTGTATGCGCTATGAACAGTGCAAGCAGGAAGGACGAGCTCGCAAAGGAACCCAAGATGGAAGCTTTGCAGTTCGGTTGAGTTGATTGCGCAGATTCAGTTCTATCCAACTCGAAATTGTACTGTTTTGTTTGGTTAACTATAGTGTAGCAGGGAAGGCACTATAGGGGTACAATTTAGGTGAAGGTTGGATGTTGTTTGTCTGTATCTGCATGCTACAAGGCCAGGGGAAACCAGCGGAACCAGCATTTGGCTGGTTGGGCAAAGACAAAACAGGTTCTGTTTTTAGAACCTGAACCTGGTTGTTGTTTTCCCAGGTTGGAAAAACAGAACCAGAGGTTGTTTACCAACCTACCACCTGCTATTTTGTCCAGCCAGGTTGGTTCTGTTGCTTGGAATTATTTGGGATCATCCCTGGTTGTTCCCAGGTTGATTCCCAAGGTCCTTGCTAGCTAGAACTATTTAATCCTTCTCTGTTTGTACCTGAATATAGTCAATTGATTCATGCGAATTCCTTCCTCGCTGGAATTTCGTTTCTACGCGGTTCGTTGGCGGAATGCTACCCGAGTCAACGCTAGTACGCTAGCACTCTAATGCTAGGCAAACACCGTCTGAGCCATAACTTCGTAATGGCAGAACTTTTCGCGAGGCAACTTGGCTCATTTTAAAGCTCTTGGAGCGAGCTTCGATATAGCGAATTCTCAGCTTAATCCGATCGACGGTCTGCACGGCACGCTGCGCGACGTTCAAGGTGCTCTTGCTGTTTTGACTAAGTCCTTCTTGATCCCTCTCTCTACAAACTCGGACCCGAGGATAGGGGCTGGTCTTGTACCAGGCACCCAGGGACCCTTGGAGGTGACCCCGAGGAGAGGTTTTAAGTTTGATTAAGTCCTAATAGCTTGAGTTTATTAGGCCCTTACACCAACAAGCTGGTATCAGAGCTGCGTTATAGTGATCCTCGTTATAGGTAGCTATGGCGGGCAACACCTCGGCGGGAGCTGGTGAATCTTCAGCCCAAGATCGTAGCGGCAGCCAAGATTCTGGTCTTTCAGCGCCAAGGGGAGCGCGAACAAACCAGGGCTCGCTTGTCAAGGAGGTGCTGAAGAATTTCACCGTCGAGAAGTTCAATGGTGAGGGCTATGATGATTGGGCCTGGAAAATGCAATTATATTTCCGTCAGATCGGTTTGCTGAAACTAATGATTGGGGAGGAGCCTAGACCGAGTGACCCCACGCTGCAGGAAGATTGGGACGAGCGCTCCTCGGCTGGCTACTATTTGATGTCGCAGAGTTTGGAGCTGAACCAGCGTCACCACGTCATGCACCTGCTGCCGGAGGTTGAATGCGGTCCGAAGGCGTGGACCGTGTTGAAGGAGCTGCACGCCCCGACCTCCGTTGTCGCAACGTTGATGCTGGAGAGGGAGCTGTCCGCGTTGCGCCTGAGCGAGGGAGAGCCGGTGCAACCAGTCCTGGACAAGATGCGCGACCTCTACGCGAAGTTGGCGACCGCGGGAATCACCTACCCGGAGCAGACCAAGTGCTTGAAGATGCTCTCGCTGCTGCCAGAATCGTGGCTTCAATTTACGAGCGGATTGAGCCTGCCGCAGAACCAGAGCTTGTGGACGCTCGAGTGGGTGCGGACGAAGATTCTGGAGGAGGACTTCCGTCGCCGCCAACTGAGGGGTGGAGACGACGGCAGCAGCGGCTACGGGATGCAAGGGAGCCGACGTGGCAGAGGATGTGGCTTCGGTGGTGCTGGACGCGGTGCAAAGAAAGACGACGACTCCAACGACCAACAAGGAGGTACCGGTTGGGGTCGCGGTGCGAAATCTGGACGTGGGGGCAAGTCGGGTGCTGGTGGCAAAATGAAAGGGAGTTGCTGGTATTGTGAGAAGGAAGGGCACCCCTGGTTTTTGTGCTATAAGAAACCCGATGGATGGACCCCCCAGAATCGTCACCAGGATGGCGGCGCGCGGAGGAACCAGAAAAACGGCGCCAACATGGTCGCTGATTCGTCCGACAACAACCCGAAGGGCAACGGCGGTGCGGAGAAGAAGAAGGAGCGCACCGCGGGCCAATTCTTCCATGTAGGAGACAAGGGGGAGCAAGGAGACGCCTCTGCCAAAGTTGGAGCAGAGCTGCACCCCCTAGACTATTGGGTGTTGGACACAGGCGCTGCTTGGACGATGACGCCGCGCAAGGACCTGCTGGACGAAGTACGAGCTGCACCGATCAATGAAGTGTGCTCCGCCTCTGGACACATGTTGAAGGTGGCTGGTGCGGGACGAGCTGCGTTTAAGGGAGCGGATGACAAGCCGGTGGTGCTGCACGACGTTCTCTTCGTCCCCGACCTGAAGGCCAACCTTATCTCCCTCCGTAAGCTTGGCAAGGCTGGGGTGAACACCAACACGGATGGGGCACGCACTTATAAGGGGAAGCTGGGCAATCGGGTGCTTTGGGATCTGCACGAGAGCAAGGACGTGTACAGATCTATGTGGCAGCTGCCGGCCCTGGCGTGGCATGGAGAGGGGTCTGCATCCCAGGGGGAGTGCAATGCCGTTGGAGGGGTTGGTGTGAAAGTGTCGGCCAGATCTGGGGAGACGGATTGGGCAACGGCACACCGGCGCTTAGGGCATGTGGCAATGCCTTTGCTGAAGCAGCTGGAGAAGGATGGAGCCGTTAAGGGTCTGAAGCTGAACGGACAGCCACCCGATGACAACTGTGAAATCTGTTTGCTTTCAAAGTTCATCCGTTTCCCTTTCCATA